CTTAAGACTTACATACCGCTTCACAGTGCTTTTACATCCCGCTCTAAGTGGTTTACAGAGTCAGCCTATTGCCCCCAACAATCTGGGTCCTCATTTTAACGACCTCGGAAGGATGGAAGGCTGAGTCAGCTTGTGAGATTTGAACTGCCAAATTGCAGGCAGCCGGCAGAAGTAGCCTGCAGTACTGCACTCTGTACACCACAGCGCACCACTCACAATATAACTAAGCCTGGATTAGCGAGACACCATTGCTGAGGTTGCCAAAAAATGCTGTGCTCAACAAACAAATGATAACGTGACACCTTTGTTTTGACTGATGGTCGGATTCTTGCAAATCAAGTGTAAAACGTTTGGCAAAACAGCCGAGAGCTAGCGTTCTCTTTTTTTTCCTACTGGAATCCGATGCCTTGGTTCTTCCCCAGCTGTTACTTTGCGTAGTTAATTCAACTGTTTTCATCTCAACTGGGTTTAATAAAACCTGCAACTTTAAGAATTGCTACCTGAGCTACTTGAGGGTTTTTTCTTCTTCTTTCCCTTCCCCAATCTTCCTCTCCCTTCGCTTGTGTGTGTGTGTGTGTGTGTGTGTTGCCTTTTCTAGCTAAACCTCAGGGCAAGGACTGTTGCACCACTCAGCTGCTCCGAGTTTCCTTTTGGCTTACAACGCTAGGTTCAAAATGCAAGAAATCCATAAAATATAAATAAGCCGAAGGCAGACCACACATGGCTCGCTGGGGATGGAAAGGATACCATAAACCAGAGACAAGTGAAGAGTTTTTTTTTTTTTTAAAGGAGGTTTATTACACTTCTGCTCCAATAGCATATGTTCCACTGTAAAGCCTGTTTGATCTTTCCTCCGGTCAAGTTATCTACCCTTGCAAGCTTTCATCATGTCGAACACAGAGGGATGCATAGGAGTGTAGCAGACCCCAAACAGACGGGGTGAAAGCACAAGACATCTATTCCCAACCACGACAAGGTTAAAATGATGAAGCAAGCATCTTGATGTAATGCCCTGCCCTCTTGAAACCTGCATTGTGGGATTGCATCCGAGGGCAGAGTTTGCAACGCAACGTGGTTTCATCCCTTGCCCAGCTCCCCCTCCGTCAGATGCTGCTGGGCGGAAAATACCTCGTCTGCATTGGTGGGAGATGGCCACACAGCAGGCTTAATAAAGGTGGCCACTAAATGAATCCACATTGTGGGTTGGCCTTCTTCAGCCGAGGTTCCCACGGTACACTTTAGATGTAAAGAACTAACCCCAGGTAAAAACTAACCAAGCATTGTAGGTTTACAGAGGCAGGTAGTCCTCAACTGACAAGAGTTCGCTTAGTGACCATTCAAAGTTGCCACGGCACTGAAAAATGTGACTTGTGGAACATTTTTCACAGTTCCTGTCAATCCTGATGCTGACCTGAGCGAAGCCAATTTTACAGCTTCAGTGTAGCCACACCGGAGCTGAGGGTTAGGGAGGGGGGATTTGAGATCTGTAGCCAAAACAAAATATTTTCTCTTGAGAACCAAGGACATTCTCCCACCTGGTCAGAGGAAGGTGGAGCGATGCTACACAGCTGCCAGTCCGCACCATGATTGGACCATGTGACTGATTGTTTGGAGAAAGTAGAAAAACTTTTACTTTTCATTAGGTGGAAAACCGCGGGAGGCTTCAGAGTCGGTTTTCAACAAATATGTGCCAATATGATATTTCAAATAAAGCTATTCTTTGAGGAATCAACCTGCCTCGGAGTTTTGCTTGCTATGGATCTATTACTTGGAACCCTAACAGTTATGGCCTTTGCAGCTTTCCCATGATCATGTGATCAAAATCCAGATGCTGGGCCACTGGTTCCTATTTATGACAGTTGCGGTGTCCAAAGGTCATGTGACCCCTTTTGCAACCTTGCGACAAGCAAAGCCCATGGGAAAACCCGATTCACGTAACAGCCACGTGACTTAACTTATCAACTGCAGCAATTCATTTAGTTGTGGCAAGAAAAGTCACAAAATGGAGCAAAACTCACTTAACAAAACCAGATGGGAAGGTCACAAATTGGCAGTCACGTGACCCCGGGATGCTGCAATTGTTCTAAATGCTTGTTGGCCACCTAGCATCCAAATTTTAATCACATGACCATGGGGAATGCTGCAGTGGCCATGAGTGTGAGGAATGCTTGTAAGCAGTGGTGGGATTCAGGCAGTTTGCACCTATCCGGGAGAACTGGTTGTTAACTTTCTAAGCAGCTCGGAGAACCGGTTGTTGGAAGATATCTCATTTTGTGTTTTTTCCCACTTTACAGAGCTAATCCTGTAAGGAAGGTAGGAAGGAAACATGCTGGTGTTGTTTCTAGCCTAATCTTGATTGCCCTGTTTACAGAAACTGCCTCTCAGGTTAACCCTTATTACATTGCAACAGTTAAGGCAAAGCGCCCATTGACATGAGTGACATTGAGTTGGCCGCGCCCATTCAGTCACATGACCACTGAGCCCCACCTACCCAACCAGTCATTAGGGCAGAGAATTGGTTGTTAAATTATTTGAATCCCACCACCGGGTGTAAGTCACTTTTTAAAGAGCCGTGGTAGCTTTAAATGGTTGCTAAATGAACATCGAGGACTAACCGTCATTCCTACCAGATACTCGGAGAACAGGAAGTGAGTTGGGGATTGGAGAAGAGCGCAAAGGAGAAAGGGAAATGGTTTTCCCACTTTGTGGAGATTACAGCTTTCCAAAATGGAAGGAAGATAATGCAGTCTTGGAGAAGAGCTCAAGACTACCTCTTTGGCCCATGTAGGGTTCTTTTAAAAAAAAAAAAGCAAGCCAGAGATCTGGCTACAGCTGTCTGGACACAGATGCTGTGACAGGGTTCAACGCAGGCCAAAGCCTAAATAATAATCACAATCGAAAGTAACACCCAAAGATACCTTGGCAGTTCTGAACACGCCCACATTCCTTGAGCATCCTTCAGGATGCTTCTGAACTACCAAGGATCCACAGTGCAAACTGCCTTTGCTCGCCTCTGGCTAATCTGAGACGCAATGAACAGCAGTGATAGCAATTTCCTCTGCTAGAGGATTCTTTCTGCCTTAAAAGGCTAAACTTGTCATTAACACGAACTTAACAACGATGACATCCTCATCCCTGGGAGAAATCCTGGGAATTTCAATTTGCTGGGCGTGCCAAGACTTCTATTAGAAGTCCCAAATCTGCTCACAGGATAACGCTTCCTTGGATTCTCCAGGTTACATGAAACTGGACTCAACCCAATTTCATGTTGAATGAAATACATAGGCAATGCCTTCTACAAATGTGTGCGGTGAAAAGAGATTTTTCCCAGCAGTCGTTTAGCCCAGGGGTCTCCAACCTAGGCAAATTTAAGATTTGTGGACTTCAACTCCCAGAGTTCCTCAGCCAGTTGGCTGAGGAACTCTGGGAGTTGAAGTCCACAAGTCATAAAGTTGGCAAGGTTGGAGATCCCTGCTTTAGACAGTGACATGCTTGAGTGATTCTTAAGAAACCCCACAAACCCGCTCTTAGGGATCCATCGGTGGTGGGATTCAATGGGGGTGTTAGTCTAAAATGGGTTCCATCTTAGATCTACTTCTAAGCCCAATTGAATACAACAGGCCTCCCCACCTCAAATACTCATATGTAGAACCGCATTGTCAGTTTTGCCATAAGTAATCTCTCAAGCTGGATCTCCTACAATACGATCCAAGTCATCAACGAACCAATGTGGTTCAAGTCAAAAAAGGTTCAACAAACCAATATGATTCAAGAATAATAGCGACGATAAAAGATTCAAGTGTTCTACGAACCAATATGGTTCGAGTTAAAAATCCATTTCATGGAAATGATTAAAGCGTAGTGGATAAGGAATATGGAGGGCTCCTAATGGTACAGAATGTCAAGAGGACCAAGTGAGGGATGCAGAATTCAGATCAACTTTCCTTCAAATATGTGATGGATTCCAACCTGAAACGACCCAGAGGGTGCCAGGTGGCAGAAGATTGACCCAGATGCTCAGATCACCATTCTTGCTGGTGACATGGAACCTCATGGAATTGTGTGGTGTGGGTTTGCATCTGGGATGCCATTGGCCTGTGGTGGAAGCAGTGGTGGTGGTGGAGATAAATCCAGCCTCTCCACTGATGGTTTATGGTTACAGTGGGTCATCTCTGCCACTGACTCACGGCACCAGCTTCTACTAGGAGAAGAAGATGCTTTTGTGTGTGTTTAAAGCTTTGAGGTCCAACTTGGTGTCCCAACCCTTATCCAATAACTTAATTAAATATAGCAAGCAGAAGACAACACAGTCCATCGGGGGTGGGGAGAACAGAGAAGGAGAAGAAAGAAACAAAGACATCCACGCT